TAAATCGATGGATCTAGAATGTTTTGCGCCGTTTCACGAGCCTCTTTTAGATGCATAAGCACTCTACCTCCCTTGTATTTTAATGCTGGTTTGAAACAGCAATTGAACCCTGATTTCGTGTGGTGACAGTGCACACCTCTAACCTCAATACTACAGAGCCCACGTATATTAGATTTTTAATTTTTAAGTTATGCAATGTTAACGAATAACCAAATTAAAAATTGATATTATTTATTATTTTATTTATTGATAAAAATAGTAACTGCAAATAAAGGCTGACAGTCAGAGACAGTAATTTAGCATTCAGAAATCACATGACAAATAATCAAATAAGCTGGCCAAGCGGCCAGCTGGAAGCGACATACAATTATTCATATTATTCATAGCATTTTAAAGCACAAATGTGTTAATATATAGCTTTGTATGTACCAAATATATTAACAGATGCCGATACTACCACATATAATATCTATTCCACTTTACAATGATTCCCATTACAACAAAGCTCGAAATTATTATTTTACTGTCAATATCTGCATGTCGAAACAAGTTTTTCAACAGTACAAAATTTAAACAAGGGGAAATAATAAGGGTATATGTTAGCTTAAAAAAATTTGTTTCGTTTAAAAAATTTTATTCTGCAATACATGAAAACCGAATGCTGCAACAAATTTTCCAAAAATATGTATAAAAATCTCTGTTTTTATACTCTTGCAACATGTTGCTACAGAGTACAATACTTTGTTCAGCTAACGGTTGTTTGTAACACCTAAAACTAACCGAGATAGATATGGATTTATAGTTATATATATAAATGATCAGCGTGACAAGACGAATTGAAATCCAAGTGACTGTATGTCTGTCCGTTCATCTGTGCAAGCGATAACTTGAATAAAAATTAAGATATCTTGATAAACCTTGGTACACATGCTCCTTGGCATTAAAGTAAGGAAAAGTTTGTATCTTTGCGTCATCCGACCACTGCCATGGTCACAAAACGCCATTAATTAAAAACGTATAAAGTTCCATAACGAGTCACATTGCAAAGCTTTGAAAAGTGGGCGTGACCCCACTCCCCAAATAAGTATAGTGTATATATCTCCCAAGCCAATAAAACTATATCACCCAGATTTGCAGAGGTCAAATCTTTTCAACCCTTATTACGATAGTGTCAAAATAATTAAAATCGGGTGACAACCACGCCCACTCCCCATATAACGGTTTTGTCAAAAACTACAAAATGTGTGATAAATCAACAACTAAATGGCAAAAGAGGGCTTTATAGGAGCCGCTATCAAAATTGGACGTGACACAGCCCACTTTTAGGTGAAATCATACATCTCGGGACCTACTCAACCGATTTCAATCAAATTCGGTACATAACATTATTTAGACATTCCCATGTTACAGTGCGGAACTGGAGGCTACAACCATCCATTCCTAATAATAGTATTCTTGTGTGTCAAAAATTTATTGAATCAGATCAATAATTCCCTTAGTGCCCACATACCTTATAGACAAATTTCGAGTATCCGGCTGACATTATATATATAACAGTCAATATGTGAGTTGTGTTATAGAATTTGAAAAAGCGTGTTTCTCTAATACTAATAAATAAATAATTAAAATTGATACAATTGGGTGAAAGCTTGCCCTAGCCCCATATAACTTATATTAAAATTTAGTCGACTTTACTTCTTATATATTGGTGGGGGTACCTCAATGAATGTAAACTAATAAGATACAAATTTGATTGCGATCCATTCACGATTTCGTCAAATAATGAATGCTGAATTCTTTTCTAACATTTGATATACATTTTTTATACGCCCGAACTTAGCTCTTCCTTACTTGTTCCTTTTATTGTTTTTCGGCATTCCAATCCCTTTTTTTTCTCTTTTTTTTTGTATTTGCCTTTTCCATACTTTTTTCAATCAACAATTGACAATTTGACGCGTTGACATAAAGTATTTGGTTGAAAAAATTTGGAAAATTGTATGCAAAATAACTTCAACGCCAACTGCAAATCATATGCAAATAAATGCCATTCGCCGGCTGTTTTGCATAAAAGACACATTTTCGTTTAATAATTTTAATTGAATTAATGCCGCACAACCGAATTGTAACAGTAACCATTTCTGCCTACGATTTTTTCACATTTTGTCGTGTCAATAAATTGATAGAGTTGGCAGTTTTTTATGCATTTGTGGTATTTTTTAGATAAAAACAGACAGATTTTGTTGCTATTGATAATATGCATAAATACATATGTATATACCTATACACACATGCATATTTTTTACTTATTTTTGTCTTTTTGAGATTTAATATTAATATTTCATGCTTATTTTGAATTTCAACTTATGAGCTTCAATACTATTTTTATTACTTTTTCTGCTTTTTGCCTTCAACTGAGGCATATATATGTACGCTCATTTATATTTATTCTCGCCACTTTGCATTTTGTTTATAATGCAAACACACCATGGTATATACGTACATGTCAGCTTTCGCTTTGGATTTGACAACTGGCAATTCGTGTGTGAGCCAACCTCAACGAAATGGGCTTACATTTTTAAAGGGAATAATTCATTTAATTTCATTTATAGTAAAATCTATATATTTATGCCCTGAACAGAGCAGAGTTTATTACGATGTATATAGCACCCAAAAAGATACGTCGGAGACCCTAAAAAGTATATATTATAATGATTAGGGTAACAAGCTGAGTCGATTTGCCGTCTGTCTGTATATACTACAACTAGTTCATCAGTTTTCATCATATCGATCTGTAATTTTTCATATGTCTTTCTCTTCTCAAGAAGTTGCTCATTTGTCGGAAGCGTCAAAATCGGATCACTATAGCATATAGCTGACATACAAACTGAACGATTGGAATCAAATGATTGTATGGAGATCTTTTTATTTTACAAGATATCTTCACCAAATTTGGCAATGATTATTACCCAAGGTAACGGTAGAAGTTTTGTAAGGAACCTTTTGTGTTTGTGAAGGTTATTAGAGCTTCGGTACAACCGAGGTTAACTTTTTTTCTTGGTTTTTATAAATTTTAAGCATGGTATATAAAGAGTTTTCGACTAAAGTTTTAGTACTTAACTATCGATATTCGATATTTATAAGCCTTGTATTTGGTTGCCTACGAATATTAGGTCAAAAGGGAAACAGAAAGTAAAAATTTGAACGGTCTACAGTGGAAGTCTACGAGTTTGCAAATACATACATACATTTAGCAAATTTGTATGTGATTTATTTTTATTTATTGTCATCGTTGTCAGCGCATTTAAAATATTTTTCTCTGCTTGAATAATTTACAAATAATACCCATTCAAATTGAAATGCGTAAATTAATAAGCGCGCTTGTTCCATTAACGATTATTTGTCATGTGTTTTATACCCACTTTTTATCATGATCTCACGTATAAACATATATTAATTTTGTGTTCAAATTTCTGGCGCAATGGCTGTCGAGTTTTAAATGTGTTTTATCTATAATATACAAAATCGTCAAAAAAATTGGTGAAATGCCGTTATATGAGTTTAAAGAGTTATTATTGTTTTTAGTTTTGGGTTAATAATTTACTATAAGAAGAGTGACAATGTCTGGCTCTACAGAAAAGTTGGAAAAACAAAGTTTTACGAAATGAGGACTGCCTGAAAAAAACAAATTTTTGTACCACTTTTTTTTGACTGTTTCAAATTTTTTTAAAAATAGTAATAATTAAAATTTGCAGATATGGATAGTTTGTTATGATAAAAATTGCGATAGACAAGTCTATAACGAAGACTCTCTAAAAATTTCAGGTAAATCGATGCAGTAGAACCTGTAAAAATCTTGGGTACTGTTTTGAATAAGACAGTTTCGAGAAAAACGCGTTTCAAGTTTCGCGTGAAGTTTTTTGCTCGATAAGTTTCTGCCGAACCAATTTGAATGCCGAATCAGCAATACCATATACCTATATCTTCGAAAATAATTTTAATTTCGAATAATACTCTTGTATACATATTTTTTTTATAGTTAAATTTTGAAAAAAAAAAAAAAAAATTTTTTGTTTTTCTAAACTAAAGTACCCCCTTAAGTTTTAAACGATTCCAGGAGGTCAGCGTAAGAAATCGTTACTTTATCGGGTCGAACCATTGGTGACTGAATCAACTGATTCCTGTTCTGTCCAAGAAAGAACAGTCACCACTTATAACGAACAGTTTCTTTTTGAACTTTAGCGGTTTGTGGAAGATTTCTTAAACGACAGGTTTTCATTCACACCTTAGGAGTAAAACATTGAGTAAATATAAATATTTTTGTTAAATTTTTGCAGACAAATAATGCCTTCAGGGTCCTCGCCTCTGCTTTATTATTTAATGAATGGCTTTATTCACTATTAAGCGAACTAACAAGGCAAAAACAACAACACATAATAGCATACAAATTTATATTAACTATATCTTCATAAGTTCATATGATATGTATTTAGCTCATTATAACTACAAGTAAGTGTGTGTACACCAACAATAAGCAAACAAATAATTACTTTATAGTAAACTATAGCTAACAGCAACAAAAGGACTAATTATCTTAATATGAAATAAAATAAAATGGAATTATTTTCCACAAACATTACATGCACATTAGGGTGAGTCAAAAAAACGATAACTTTTTCCGCTTGTTTCCTAAAAAGTAGGTTTTTAGACTTCTAAAAAAGTCCCTCCAAGTTTGAGCTCTTAATTATAGCGGAAGGCCCAGGAAAAAACCAGAGTACCACGTGGAAAAAACATTTTTTTTTCAGACCCACCCTAATAAACATGCTATTAACATTTTTGCGCACTTAAACACTCCACTGATTTTACATAACGAGTTTTCAATTTATAGTAAATTCATATCAGCTTAAAGCAATTTACTTTAATTTAATTTAATTTGCTTAAACTGTATGATTTGAGTGTGTGTGTGTTTGTGCATACTTTTATATAACGGATCTTTTATTTAGTTAAAGAATTTACAAATTGCAAGTAAGAATGACGAAAGTGAGCCCGAGGTGTTAAGTCTTACTACTACAACTACAATAAACGCACTCAAAGCAATTGACAGCACTTATTCAATTAATGATTTGGCTACAACAACTAATCTAACTAACAGCATGCATATAGCAAGTGATGTAAATGACATTGTCGAATCTAGTTCTATTGAATGTCATGCAAATACAATAACAACAACAGCTGTAATCTATACGCTACCCACACCTGCGAAGCCATCATTGGCGCCCAACTCAAGTCCGGTCAATGCCCATCTCACTCCAGCGCCACTACCCGACACTAGCACAACTAAAGCACAGAATGAGACTTTTGTTTGAAAAATATATTATAATTTCTTTCTTTAAAAATTTGTAAATTTTCATTTGGGAAAATGTATTTGTAATTATACTAACAAATTTTATAATTAATTATATAAAATATAAATTGTAAAATATTGACTAAATATAATTTACGAAATAATGCAGCTTTATGTTTAATATGGAATTATTTTCATTTTGATTTTTCTTTAGTTTAAAATGTTTTCATATCTTTTTTTTTCTTTTTGTATTTAATATTAATATGTGTGAATGTTAGAGACCTTAATAAAGGCAAACGAAAACATTTAGTCACATAAGCACACTGTACATATTTTGTTTTATTTTAACTTAATTTTCATTGTTTTTGTATTGACAATTATTTCACTATTGTTTCATTATAATTATTATTTTAAAGAATTTTACATTTCTCTAAACGATTATTCTTTTTAATTTTGTTAACTCAAACTTATTTATGTTAAAATTTAAGTCTAAAATAGAATTTTAATTGAAGCGCAAAACTAATGATGCAATGTGATATCTTATCAGTAACTAAAGATGTTAGCACACAAATTATTTTTAAGCAGAGATTAAAATATTTTTGGTAATCATATGCAAAAGTACTATAATGTACTGTGGTGCCATGTTATTTAAATTTATGACGAAGAGAAACATTTCAGCGTCACTACTTTTGAGAAACATAACCTCAATGTCTTATCAACTCCACTTTCAAACCAGTTGAAGTAGTTTCTACTACATTCAAGCTACACAAAGGAGTTAAACTCACAATAGATAAACTCTTCTCCAAATATAACACTACTGTTTCTTTTAGTTTAACCACAGAATAAAATATGAGTATCTTAACTGAAATGAAACTTATTAATCTACCTACACTTTCTAGTCGTAGGGAAATGCTTGACATAACATTCTTAATTAAAATCTTGAATGGAACAGTTTGCAGTTCTTTTCTCCTGTCTGAAATTAAATTTAATTCCCGGTTCGCTTTTCGAGACAGTTTAGACCTTTACTGTTAAAATCGTGTAGATCAATGATATATTTCAAGATTTTATTTCTCATTCGAACACATTTGACTTATCTCACTCACTTTTCAAAATTAAAAAGACTTCATTGTTTTCTCTTAATAAATGAAAATGTAACAATTTATTATATCGTAACTATAAATTTTAGCTGTAGAAATTTTTGTTTCTGAAGCTGAGCAGTTTTAGACCTCAACACTTAAAAAACTCTCTTGCCTTTTCTAATTCGGCTAATTCCGCACGTATGCACATATACGAATTGGGTTATTATATATTATATTAGAAGGATATTAAAATTATTAATTAATATATCCCCTAGAACCTTAACTTCTTTCTATATGACATGATTTGTAATCTCTCTTTGAAAAGAGCAAATTAAAGCTGATTTACCTCAAGCCTGATACCTTTAACAATTTCAAACTATGTTTTGTGCCGACTCAAAGCCGACTATGACCTCTCTTTATCACATTGCCTTTTCACAAAGAATAAACTTTCGAGAATTTTTAATAATAAACTACTTGACTTACTAGGTATTTTCATTAGAGTCTTTGTTTCCTATATGTTATCAAAGCTCTGAATTCAATAGTATTACAAATATCCTCCATAAGCACATCTATGAAACAATACGCTTACTCTTAAGAGATGCCCATTAATCATCACATTACTAGATCAACGTTCTTAAGCAAAGCATAAGGGAAGTGAGTTCAACTTAAGGTCGATTGAGTTAAGCGAAAAATACTAAAAAAATTTTTCTGTGAAGTCAAATAACTCACATAGAAAGTATTGCATCTAGTATATTCTATCTAAATCACCATCTACAATATTCCTCAATTGCTTGGACTTTTGTACAGAAAAACATGCTGTGATCTAATTGCATTTATTTGATATATATCCTACCTGAATTTTAGTAAATAAACTAGCAGTTTCTTAGATCTTTTTTACTTTGAAGAATAAATTAATTACCACGACCATCTAAACTAAATTACCTGCTAAACCTGAGCCCTCGAAAAGTCTTTTAAGCAGGTGCAGAAATAATATTGTGTATATATACTTACTATGCTTTTTCCCCGTTTAGTAGCCTGACTAAAGTTGACTGTGGAGACGCCTATTTAAACCGATTGTTAATTGGGTGGTATAAATATATAACTAATAATTTTAAAAGTAAACCAATATATTAAATTTAAATGGGGGTTAGGATAAAACAAGACAAACCTTAACTTCTGTTGTACCGAAGCTATAATATTCTTCACAAATACAAAATATTAATTACAAGAACTTGATTTCAATCGGCCAGTTTGTATGACAGCTATATGTTATATTTGTCCGATCTGTACCATTTACAATAACGCATGCTAAATTTCGTGAATATATCTCGTCAAATGAAAATTTTTTTATAAAAGCACTTTATTCAGATCGTTCAGTTTGTATATGAGCTATATACTATAGAAATCCGATATCGGCGGTTCCGCTTATTATTGCTTATTTGCAGCTACTTTGCAAAATTTCAAATCGATATCTTAAATGTTGGGGACTAGTTCGTGTATATACAGACATGCTGATCATTTATATTAGTATACACTTCGTAGGGTCTCCGACGTTTCTTTCTGGGTGTTACAAACTTCGTGGCAAAGTTAATATAGGTTCAGGGTATACATATTGAGGCTTTTAGTTTTTTTTTTGTTAAAAAGTAAGTATTTGACTCAAAAATTTATTAATTCCATATCTAAACCTATGTATATACACATATTCAAAATAGAAGACCTTTTTAGTTAGTTGGAGACACAATTAATTTTACTACACAATTTGCTATTTTTGCAACATTTATATAACTGTTTAACCTTGTATGAATGCATTCATGTCGTCTTGCAAAGCATTGTGTTAATTCAGATGCTCAATCTGATCGAAATTATTTAAAATTTTTAATACAAAAAATATATTTACAAATGCAAACAAATGTATGTAGACACACACATATGTATAAGTGCATACTTGCATACAAATTTATTGCGGCACACCCTGTATGCATCCTTTATGTGATCCTTCGCCACTTTTAATCATTTATATAAGTATTTTCATTCCAATTTTCGATCGGCGACAAGCAAATAATGTTATGTATATTTGTAGGAAAACTTCCTCTAAAGTTTTAAAATGAAAATTTTCCTTAAAATACATACACATATACATATATGTATACTTATTCTATGAACTTATAGTAATTTATCGCTCTTCTTTACCTTGCTATCTTCCTCTATTAGCTAAACTATAACATTTTTATATCTGTACATATTCATCTACTATAATAATATACATAGTTGCATACATACTAATATACATATATAAATATATATATATATATAAAATCGTACATAAACTGTTAAGCTATTTACGAATTGTTTAATATAAAACTATAATTACAAACAAATCAAACATAAATATTACGTATGAACATAATTACACATTGCGCAAAAGCAAACTATAAATAGCTAAAAAGAAAGATAAAAGGAAAGACAAGAAACTATGTTAATAATTAACATTATGGTGTGAATTAATTAAAATAAATGAGATTTATAAATATTTGAAAGCAAAAAAAGTGTATATCGAATAAAACGATTTCATTGTGAATGTGTGTTGGTTTATTTTCATTACTTCATGCATTACTTAATTCACTCATTCCTTTCATATGCATAATGGCTAATGATTATAGTGCTTCTGCTGATGATGATGCTGATGATTATTTGTCAGTACATCAGTTAATTTGTTCCGTGTTTATGTGATTTATTCGATTACATGTCGTTTTCATGTTTGATTTTGCTAAATATTTCCTAATTGTACAGTAATATCGCTGGAGTCTGTATTTTTACGGACTTGATAAAGCAACACATCACTTTATAAACAAAGAAATATGTTATTCATGCATTATAGAGCTTAATATTAATCTGTTAAAATATATATAATTAAATTTTGTTTAAATTAGTTTAATTATTTAATCCCTTAATTAAATATATTTTTTATATAAACACTAAAAACCAATAGTCGATTGACGTATTGTCTTTCAAACCAAACATACCCACATTTCACTTACAAAAATTTTAATAGAAAGAAACCCGCGTGTTACAATTTTTGGCACAAAAAAAAATTTTTTTAATATCAAAAAATAATTTTAAAAAACCAAACAAATTTGAAATACTGATATTAAAAATAAAATTAAAATGTTTTTAAACTTAAAATTTTTACAATTTTATAAAACTATATATATAAATAATATGTGGAAGATAAACTGAAGTGACCTAATTGTTGCAGTTACCTTTAATACCGACAAAATATGCGGGATAATGAAGTCATACACTTAACTTTTTTTATTTTTAGCAAATTTTCAAATTCCTTGAGATATATTCCATACTAACCGATATATAATACCTTTCGCTTTTACACAAGCCCTCAAACGATTCGGTCATAGATCAATAGCAGCACGCACAATTTATATTGGCATTGACGACGTTGCTAGAATCAAAGAAGACTTCCTAAATTTCTGTGTGTTTTTGACGATCCATGTTCTCCAACTCTGACGATAAACAGTAGTCCAATGAAGTCAAATCTAGATTTCCGGACCGCCCATCAGCTATGACCTACTGAACTGATTATTATATATGAGTAGACACTGCGTACAAATTATATTAAAAATTACAGCACTTTTTTTTGCGAATTTGTCCTTGCTGTATGCATTGTAAACTATGTAACAAAATTTGTGGCAGACATGATCTAAACTCAACAAAGCTCAACTCAAGAAGACCGAGCTACATACCTTATGTTATAGACCAATTTAATTTTTATTTTATATAACATAAAGTCAATAACGAATTTCCGTCCACTTCATATTCGGTATATGAACCTTAAATATACCGATTTAATATATTTTACGTTTTTGGTGAATATTTAGATGTAAAATAACAAACTTAATAAAATAAACATATTTTAAAAAGAAAAGCACAAATTTAAAATACAATTAATAAAATATTATTTACATCATAAACATAATATTCATTTAAAATTTAATATAAGAGTAACTTTTATGAAATAATTATGGCTTAAATAACCCATATGTGTAAATACATAGGTATATTTTTAAATTAGCTTTTGAATTCCTACTCTTATATGAAAACATGGATTTTCATATTTAGAGAAAATTAATTCAGCTGAAATGAATGAACAGAATACCGGATGAACGCTAAAAGCTAGTATCGACTAAAGTAAACAACTTTAACATTTATTTCGTTTATCCAATGAAAAAAAAAAAAAATAGAGAAAAACTTTGAATAAACACAATAATAACACATACAAAAAAATATTACAAATGCACTTTGAAAAGTGCACTTTTTAGGCCGGGGCTTAGTAGAATTGAAAGCACAAAATACGTAAAAATGCCGGTTATTGCCGATTGATTAAAAAAAATTAAAAAAGTATTAATATTACATCGGGATTTCTAAAGATTTAAAAAAGTATATAGGTATATATATATATATATAAGCTAACACAAATGTCCTCTTTGCTCCCAGGTGTTATTTGATTTATTTTATTTTTTCTTCCTCAAAATTTAATTACTCGCATGTTTATTTATAAAGCTGATTTATTCAAAATGCGCTGAAAATATGCCATTTTACTTTACTTGGCTTGCTGCTTGGTTATCTGAAGGAAACCTCACAGAACTATTTCCATTACAAAGAAAATAGCATAACACAGAAATAGAAGTTTACACCTTATTGAATTGATTTAACCGCTTGCTATTTTATCTCTATTTGATTTGGGTGAGTTATCACCACTTTCCAAAGTTTAGCGAATAAAAGGTGGCTATTAGTTTTAGGAATCGAAGCTTCTTGCTAAATATTCTATTTGAAAAAAATATTAGGAAAATTCACTTTTTACTCACTTTTATTGGAAATATTTATAAGCCGCCAAGGATTGAATAAGTTGCTAATAGAAATATTGAAAATATAGTGTAAACACAGTTAAAGAAATAATTTTTAAATTAATTGATATAAATTTTTTGCTACTAAATAACATTATAACAACTTCAAGTGAACTCTTAAATGAGCAATTAAGAGAATTTCAGCAATTTAATGCTTAACTTTTCTCAAAATTTATCATAGAATAAAGCAATTACCCATTAACCAAATTAGCGTTTAATTAACAAAAACCAAAAGATGGCATTGGCCCTATTTAAAAAAAGTTTCCATGATATACATATTTAAAATAAAACCGTCGGCATCCCAATGTATTATGTGGCTTGCTATTACTATTTTTCACAAAGATTTTTCTGTTTCGTTTTGTTTTAATGCTGCCAATAATCCTTTTACCTTTCAATCTTTGTCGAGTTAACCTTCTTTGTCAGAAAAGTTCATAGTTATTAAGTTTTGATCCATTTCATTTATATGGAACATTTTACAACTATCAAACACAAATTGTTTAAGCTAAATTGATTTAATTTAAACAACATGTTGAGTTAATTAATTTATTAATTAGCTCAGTAAATTTCCGTTTAGCACATGATATTATCGGTTTCTAATCAGGATTGAAACTGATTTTTCTGTAATTGTCACTAAAGAAATGCTGCCTTAGAGGTTGTCAGTCCTTAACTTTTTTCTATATAATCTCATTTAAAATTTCTTCATTTCTTCTTTAAAGATCACCCCGAATTTGTGCCTTTGCGTATTTCATTTGTTTTAAAACTTTTTAACATTTTTTCTTTTTTAAAAATAGTTAATCTATTAATTTAAGTCTAATGAATTTATATGTCTATATGCACCTAAACAGAAATGCTTTCACATGTCTGAAATTTATAAGAAAATTAGAGACATTTACACTGAATATAATTGACAATAATTTAGCTTTCACCTGAACATATTTGCTTTCATATTTGTGGCATGCAAAATATTAATATTTATTTTATTAGTATTGTATACTAAATAAAACTAAACATTTAAGCTTTGGGAGCAAATAAGCGCATATTGATCTTTATTATATTTTCACACAATATAATGTATATTCATGTTTATAAAATGTCAAAATTGAATTTAAATAAGTGAAGGCACTTAGAAGAACATACACATAGAAAGCAAACTTTAAACATTTCAGTCAGACACTATAGAAATATATCTCACGCAGCCTGTAAGGGTTTATGCGTTCTTTGCTTTTAATACCATTTGCTGTTATAATTTTTTTATTTATACATATATTTTTCATTTCATTGATTTATTCGAGTGATTGAATCACATCACGTTTTTATTAAAAATTTTATTTCAATTACTAAAAATGTAATAAAATCGAAAAATAAATTATTGCTCTATAATGAACATGAATTTCTTAACTCCTTGCCTATATTATATATACTCGTATTTCTTTATATGTATACATATATAATATTTAATGTATATCTATTTATACTTACATACATAGAGTTCTTTGTATTTGGTATTTATACGAAACTGAGTGCCATAACTATTTCCACAAACTTCTATATACATATATGTATATGCGTACATACACATATATTATACATAGTTACAAGCATACACACACACTTATATATACATATATATTGTATATTGTCTTTGCGCCGGAAGCTAATGATGATGCTGCCGTTCTGCTGATGATGATCGTGTGATTTGCGTATATTGATAATATGAAATGAATTTGTTTTGTGGCAAATGGAATCCTAAAAGTTTGGAGTTTTTTTTACTTATAACATACTCGTATTTTATTTCAATAACTATCTCATATATTGTATATAAATCAAAATCTCTTCTATTCTATATGCTTTCACAAATCACAAGAAACGGAAACCAAATAAATCAAATTAGTTGTTATAGAGCTCACCTGCACAACAGTTTTTGATTTTTATGTATATTTTGCTGTCATTTAATGCGTGTGTATACAATTGGTATTATTTCTGATTATAATGCCTTACATTAGCTAATTGAATTAATTCATGGAAATAAAGCGCACAACCTTTATTTTAGCATTTTTATTTACTTTATCGCATTTCACCACAACTGATTTTTTTCCAGTTTTGCATATTCCATTTAGTTTGTAATTTATCGCCCACACATATGTGTATGTACTTGTCGCGCACAAATATCATGAAGTTCCCTCTATTTTTCAAATTAATATATGCAACCGCAACGCTAGTATATCCTCAAGCACATAAATGTTCCACAAATATTTTTACAGTGATTTGTTCTTAGAAAAACATTTAATTATACCACGTTGTAAAGCATCTCATTATTTTTTATTAAACTTTCAATCTACAATTTATAAAAATTGAAATATAAAAATTACTTACATATTTAAATACTGCAGCAAAAACTTTTTTTAACTCATCATTTGTTTGTTATTATTTGATCAATCAGCTAAAAATTTATGTTTTCTCATATACATATTTTCAAAATACACTTGAAGTAAGTTACGGTAGTTTATGTTATAACTAGGATTTAAATGTCAAATTAAATTTTATAATTACAACGTTTTAGTGAATTTGCTAAAAGACACCTAAGATCTGAAGGTCATTATTTTTCTAATTTTTCGGTGCACATTTCGATACTTGTCTCTTTTCCAAGTC